TGTTTTGAGAGTGATTTAAAGAGATCCTAAACCACCAATCATTAATTAGCAATAACGCTAAAGGATTGTGCTTACAGCACAAAGGGGCAGTAGTGCTTCAGTGGTAGAATTCTTACCTTCCATGCAGGAGATCCAGGTTCAATTCCTGGGCAATGCACTTCATGAGCAGAAGCCACCCATCCGTCAGTGGAGGCTTATGTGCTATTATGAGGCTGAACAGATTAATGGGGAGCTTCTATAGACTAAGATGGACTAGGAAGGAAGGCCTAGTGATCTATTTCCAAAACTCAGCCAGTGTAAACTCTATGGAGTACAACTGTCCAACCCATCACCCATCATGGAGGTGGACAGCATTTCATTCCATTGTGCCTGGGGTGGCCATGAGTTGGGGGAGCAACCAACAACAACAATCCCTTAAACTACACTGTGATGTGAGAGGCACCCTTGTCAGGCTGGAAACCAGGCTGGCATTGAGAATCCTGTCTTCTGGTCTGGGAACAACTGGCTGAAAAGGGAGAAGCCTAGAAAACAGCTAATTGTCCACCAAAGAAATAGTGTTTCAACGGGTAGACTTGTTCTCAGCAAGCAGAGCCCTCTGGAACAAGTCTGATAATTGGATAAACAAGACCTCAGTGGCTCTGAGGACCGCAAGAGGGATGCAAAAACACTTTATGTGGATTTCTCTAATATAATCACCAGTTAAAAGGCCACCAAAGTGTTGAATAAGCTCATTATAACCTTGGCACCTGTGAGCTCCACACATGCCCTTGTGGCAGCTGCAGGACCACAGGTCCATGAACACCAGGCCAGGCCTGGGCCCTGGATCCCACTATTTTCATTTGGCCTCAACCAGCTGCTGGGCCACATGAAAAAGGGACAAGGGTCAGTTCAAATGTGTTTCTGGGCTCACTGCAAGTGTTTCTTTAATCTGGCCACAGAGAAAGTAATGACAAACTCAGATCAGACGGATACTGGTTATCATCCTGAGTTTTCTAGCTGTCTGCCCCCATCAGAATTGCTATCTGGCTGGGATTTCTCTAAGCCTCTTACTTGGTCTGTGTCAGGAATCACTAGTCTGTCCATGCCTCTGACCACCCAATAAACAAGGTAAACACATGCTAGCTTGGGCTTACTTACTCATCTGTAGTGAACAGTTTTACATGTTTTTTACCACATCAAAGAGTCTGCTTCTAGGAACGGCTGGCATCTGTCTCTCTCCCAACCCACAGCACTGTCTTACAGAATCAAAGCCTTTTTCCAAATTCACAATCCCTGCCAGGGATAGAAGTCACCCTGGTAGCGTGGTGGTTACGCGCTCGACTGCAAACTGAAAGGTCAGCAGTTAGAACCCACCAGCCATTCCACAGGACAAAGATGTGGCAGTCTGCTTCTGTAAAGATGATAGCTTTGGGAATCCTGCAGTATAGTTCTATGCTGTCCTAGAGGGTCGCTATGAGTTGGAATTGTCTCAGCAGCAGTGGGTTTGGGTTTTTTTGGTTATGTGTATAGGAAGGAGCCCTAGTGGCTCAATGGTTAAGTGCCTGGCTGCTAATCAAATGTTTGGCAGTCTGAATCCATCCAGCAACTTTGCAGGAGAAACACCTGGCGATCTACCTCTATAAGGACTATAGCCTAAGACACCCTATGGGGGCAGTTCTACTTTGTCCTACAGAGCTGCTGTCTTAGTTCTCTAGTGCTGCTATAACAGAAATACCACAAATGGATGACTTCAACAAACAGAAATCTATTCTCTTACAGTTTAGGAGGACAGAAGTCTGAATTCAGAGTGCCTGTTCTAGGGGAAGACTAGGCTAGAAGTCTAAGTTCCGAGTGTTGGCTCTAGGGCCTGGGTGGAGGTCCTTGGACACTGGGATTCAGCTCTGCCTTCCTGGCCGACTGGAGCAAGCTGGAGGCTTCTCCTGACTCACACAGCTTCTGGCTGCTAAGACTGATGAATCCAAGATTGACAGGTAAAAACAGAAGACTGTTGGCTCACAGGCTGCAAAGGCAACAATCCCAAGATCAGCAGGCAACATGGCAGGTCATTGGCTCAAGTCCAAGAACTGGAGATGAAGACTCAGTCAAATGCAGGAGTCTTTCCATACATACTAGAAGTAGGCCAGACCCCAAAGGTAACTCCCCTTCAACTGGTTAACTGCTCATAGCAGACTCCACCATGGAGGTGATTACACCATGTCTAATCTTACCATGTGGAATAACTACATCACAGCTTCCAAGCCTCTCAAAATAATGGCCCAGCCAACTTGACACACAACTTTCACTACCACAGTTGCTATGAGTTAGAATTGACTTGGTGGCAAGCAACAACAACAATAGTATCCTTCACCCAAAGGTGCCCCGCCATTTATGTTAAAAGCACAGTGATTAGAAATTTGAATCCTGGCTTTGTTGGTGTAAGTAGTCACTGCTTGGCCCAGTAGATAGATTCTCCAAAGTTACAGGTGGATCAGATTTTTCTAAATCAAGCCATACTTCAAATTCACAAAATAACTCTACTATAAAACAGACTTATTCCAGAATGCATCTGTTCTATCAATTTGTCATTTATTTCCTTAAAGGTATGCAGCTGTGACCAGGACTTAAAAAGAAACAACAGATCAGCTGCTGTTGAGTCAATTCAGACTCATGGAGACCCCATGAGCAGGACTGTGCTCCATAGGGTTTTCAATGGCTGATTTTTCAGAAGTAGATCACCAGGTGTTTCTTCCAAGGTGCCTATGGGTGGACTCAAACCTCCAACCTTTCAGTGAACAGGCAAGCACTTAACAGTTTGTGCCACCCAGGGGCTGCTGTTAGTAGGATTAAAGGCACAGAAATAGAGTTGTCAACAGGGAACAGTAACCTACGTGCCAAAACCTATATAGAATGATATTCAGAAATATTCAACTAAGCTGAAGGGACTCTTTTCTAAAAGAACAAGGAATGGCTGTCCCTACTGCAATGACAATACTGCAGGAGAAACAAGACTTAAATCAGACCTGTTACTGATACCATAATGTGAATGAACTTAGAGATCTTTGCTTGAGAAGAGCCTTCTTATTGATTTATTTTGGGGGTAGAGAAGCCATGAGGTTACAAATTTTTTGAAGTATGAGAAGATGACAAGAGGGGACAAAAAGAGGGAAAGATTGGTAGAAATTAGAACACTACGCTATGCAAGACAACTTTGCCCAACTTAACAGTCTTACCTAGGGTTCAGATTTGACTTGATTCTTTCCATTTCCATTTTGTGAAAGAGAAGTGGAGGTGCGGGAAAGGGGAGGGTTAGTCTAGGACTGGGTTCTGTCGAGCTCAACCTAATCAAAACCACTATGAAGCATGTGACAGCTAGGAAAGAAACTCAACAACAGCAGCAGAGATTTAAACAAGATGCTCACTGAGTTCCCTGCAGCTTTCACATAGTAAACGTCTAATCCAAGTTCACTGTACCTCTTCTTCCTTAACCAGGACATAAAATTAATCAAAGATTCTAAGTACCCTGATCAAAAGGGGAAAAATGCTGAACAGAATTTAATATTCTCATGGAATCCAGGATTTCTGGATCCAAGAAGGCTGGATAAACTCCTGAAACTATTGCCCTGAGATGATCCTTAAATCTTAAACAGAAAATATTCCCTGAAGTCTTCTTAAAACCAAACAATAGTTTAGCTTAACTAGTAAACAATGCTTGCCTTTGCATTGTGCTCTTTTGTTGTTGTTAGGTGACATCAAGTCAATTCTGACTCATGGAGATCCCGTGTAAAACAGAACAAAAACACTGCCCAGTCTTGCACCAGCCTCCCAATTATAGCAATGTCTGAGACCACTTTTTGCCAATGTGTCAGTCCTTCTCTTTTGCTGATCCTCTAATTTACCAAGCATGATGTCCTTCTCCAGGTCCCTCCTGATAATATGTCCAAAGTACAAATGATTAAGTCTCTCCTTGCATCTAAGGAGCATTCTGGCTGTACTTCTTCCAAGGCAGATTTGTTCATTCTTCTGGCAGCCCATGTTGCTGTTGTTGTTTGCCATCGAGTCAACCCCGACTCATAGCGACCCCTCCTTGGGTTTCCGAGGCAGTATCACTACGGAAGTAGGATTGCCCAACCTTCCTTCCAAGGAGTGGCTAGTGGTTTGAAACCGCCAGCCTTCTGGTTAGCAGTCAAGTGCCTTAGGCACTATGCTATGTATTCAATATTCTTCATCAACACCATAATTCAAAGGTATCAATTCTTCAGTCCTGCTTTTGCATTCATATAAGGTGACTGAAAATACCATGGCTTGGGTCAGGCACACCTTAGTCCTCCAAATGATATCTTTGCTTTTTAACACTTCAGAGAGGTCCTTTCACATAGAGAGGGAGAACAATGTGGAACAAAACTCAAAATCATTTGGAGGAAAAAAAAGGTGGGGGGACCAGATTTGCTGGTCTGCTAGAGCCTGGTGGAACCACTGAGACTATGGCCCCTAGCTGCCCTTCAGATCTGGAATTGAACCCACACCTGTGGTTTCCAGCCAAACAAAAGACAGGCATATGAGTTGAACATTTACCTCAAGTAGATACACTCCTTGGAGAGAACAATCACGGGAGAGAGAAGGGCTGTTATGCACAGGGAGAAAGCTCAGGGGGCAGGAGTGTATGGAGGGATGGACACAGGGAAGAGGTAATTATGGGAAGGAAGTAGGAGGGAGCTGTTGCATTGTGGTAAACTGTGGTCAATGTCACATGTGAACCGCTGTATGGAAAGTGAATTTGCTCTATAAACATTCACCCAAATCACAATTAAAAAAAAAAAAAAAAAAAGAGGTCTTTTGCAGCACATTTGCCTAATGAAATACACCGCTATTAAACTTACAGATCTAGCAATTAAACTTCTAGGTAGGCAAACACATTTCATTTCCCCCAACTTTAGTTATTCAGGCTGAGGAACACAAAATCAGCCACTAAACAAAACTCAGAATGTGGGTGTGACAATCTCCCAAAAGCCTTTGTCTCTTACCTGTACACAGTATGAGGGACATATACCTCCCGGATAGGGAATTCCAAGATCTCTTTGTGTGGACGTGTACGGTTTTCAGAAAATGGTCTCACTGGCAACATTTCAGGAGTCAGACAGCAGTTGAGTGACTCTGGAGCTGAGGAAATTTCCAGTCTAAGCAAGCCTAAGGGGCAAACAGGATGTTTCAGTAAACAAAACAAACAAACAAACAAAATCTGCCATGTTACAATGGAATCAGGAAAGACTGCTGTACTCTGTATTCTATGAAATTAAGTGAGTATATGCTGAGGGAGAGTGAGTTTTGGAACTGCCAGGTATTTTCTTATAGTTTGAAGAATTGCATGTCATGGCAATATTGGGGCTTTGGTTTCTATAAATTAGAAATGAGCAGGATGGAGCAAACCATCTTCAAAGTCCCTTCTGGAACTGCCGCTCTGTAACAGTACATAGTTAAGTAGCTTTCACTCGTTGCAAAAAATTGGTGGTTTTCAGACTAAGTTCCCTGGTACCCTAGGGTGCTGCAGAAGTGCTTCAGGAGCCATTGAGGTGAAGGTGAGGACACAGCCTTCACCTTCCACCTACGGACCTGACTTTTACTAATTTATCTTTTTAAGAGGGTTCCATTTAATATTTCCCTTGAGCAAAAGGGGCACATAGTGGTTGGCTGTGAGTCTGAAACAATATGATGACAGGTAGTTTGGTTTTTTGGTTTTCTGGTTTTCATCCAGTTTGATCTGAAAGCCCCAATCTAAAGTATGGTCTTTACTGACAGAAGCAATATTTTAAAAAAGGAAAACAGAAAATATTAATAGATTTGTTGAGAATGTAGACCAAGTCACACTCTTCACCGTTAAAGCAAAATCCCATGTTTCACTTGGCACACGTGATTTTATCAATTTGAGCAGGAGACACATAACATGTCTAATCCTCCAAGGTTCTGGCTCGGTGATAGAAGATAAAGACCAGTGTCCTTACCTGGAATCGACTTGACCCGTCTCTGCAAGGATGAGGGCCTTTTGTAGTCAGCTAGGAACTTGAACAAGTCTTCATCACTCAGGCGATCTCCCTCCTGCCGAGAGAGAGTGTGTTATCATAGACTCATCTTGGACTCCTGGGTCAGGGCCCAGCAGTGTCTGGGAAGTCTTTTCTCTTTAAGTTGTTTTCTAACCTGTCTTTCATAGATATCAGAATTGTAGGCAACTCTGAAATCATTTCCTTCAACCTCTTGTCAAATATTCCTTCTCTACTCCTCCCAACCTGCTGTCACCCAGCCTCTCATCATGCCATCTTACACTCCCGACAACCCAGGGAATAAGCAACATCATCCTTATTTTGTGGATAATGACCTTGTCGCTCTGCTCCAAGCCCCAGCCCTGTCTCTGAAACACTATCTGTACGCCCCCCTCTTAGAGATCCAGCACCCCTGCCAGATGGGCCAAGCCCAGACACAAAGTAATGTGGAGAGATACCTGCTTGAAGAAGTTGGTAATGGTCATGATAGTAGGTTTGGATCCAACCCCATTTTCCTCCAAGGACAGGGCTCGCTCAGAAAGCCTTCTGGATTGGGACAAAGTCCTCCGCTCACCCACAGAGCTTCTCCCTTCAAGGAAAACAAAGGCCATTGTACAGCATACCCTTCTGTTTGAGAACACAAGCAGGTATTCACTTCACCATAGAGAATAGGACCAGCTGCCAGTGAGTCAACTCCTACATGTGGCAACCCCATGTGTGTCAGGGGAGAACCGTGCTCCAGGGAGTTTCCAAAGCTGTTTCTTCGGATCACCAGGCCTTTCCTTCAAGGCACGTCTGGGTGAACTGGAACCGCCCACCTTTCAGTCAGCACCTGAGCATTAACCTTTGCACCATCCAGGGATTCCTTACCATATATTAAAACACCCAGTGCCTTCAAGTTGATGCTAACTCTATAAGACAGAGTAGAACTGCCCCACAGGGTTTCCAAGGTTGTAAATCTTCATGGAATCAGACTGTCTCATCTGTGGAGTGTGGATGAGTATGAACCACCAACCTTTTGATTAGCAGCCGAATGCCTTAACCACTTTGTCACCAGAGCTCCTAGTATCATATATAAGATACACTGAAAGTTATTGAGAAGGAATTCGGGTGGCACAGCAGTTAAGCACTCAGCTGCTACCCAAAAGGTCATCGATTTGAACCCACCAGCTGTCCTGCAGTAGAAAGACGAGACAGTCTGCTTCTGTAAAGATTACAGCCTTGGAAACCCTGTGAAGCAGTTCTACTCTGTCCTGTAGGGTTGCTATAAGTCAGAATCGACTCAGGGCTCACAATAACAACAAAGTCAGTGAATAAGAACACTGAACGTGGCCACATTGCTTTGAATGACATTTTCCCCACTGGCCCTTGCCTTTCCTAGCCCTCCTGTTGGAGTCCCTGTTGCCCTACCCCTGTGTCTAAGCATCTAATCCAACTCTGACCAGAGTGGAAAGGCCAGGAGCAGCCATGGTTCCTCCTACGAAGAGGTCAGGGTAGACCAGATGCCACCAGCAGGAGTCCAGCCACAGCCAAGCAAAGTCCGCAGAGATGTTTTATTTAGTTAGCACTGTGTTTGCTTTTGTTTTATTTTTACATTTGAATTCCATTGGGAGAGTCCTGTACTCAGATGCCCCTACAGGCATTTGGGATTGTGACCCAAACAGGCACAGGTCAGCCTTCCCACCTTCTCAACCCAGTTTTCCTCTGCTTCCACTACGTGGACCAGGCAGTAGAACAGAGTCCCTGTCTTGGTCAACCTGCCCAATGGGGGTCAGAATTCTGAATCACACTGATACTCTGATCTGGGACCCCATACTCTGCTTCGCCATTTCTTATTCCCCTTTGGGATGTATCTTGTTCCTTTTATACTATAGTTCAAAGGGGTTCTGATTTATCAAACTCCTTACAACTCTAATCGTGCCAGTCCCAGTCCTGATTGTCCTCTTATCCTTGATTCTTGCCTTGACGCTCAGCTGGCTCTTCTTGTCACCAGCGCCCACCCAAACTTGGCTGCCCCAGCATCATGCACTGCATCTTCTGATTGCTTCTGAAGAACCAGCCTCTGTAGGTAGGTTCATTTATCCTGGAGCTGCTTCCCCTTCCTCCCACCCTGACTGTCCCTGAGGTCCCAGCATGCCCTGTGCCTGAATTCACCCTACTTATGGTGGCTGCTACACTCTGTTTAACATTTTCAAGTAAGGCTACTGGGGTTGATATACAAGTTGGCATTTAAAAAAAAAAAAATGTGACGAAGGTCAGGGTGCAATTTGATCAATCAGGTTTGCTATTGATAAATCAGAAATAACCCATGGATTCTGACTGGTAATGAACTAAAAGACTGGACTCTTGAGTCTCCCCAAAGGTGCCTTGGAAGAGAGGCCTGGAAATCTACTTCTGAGGAATCAGCATTGAAAAGCCTGTGAGCATGATTCTACTCTGACAGCCATGGTGTCGTCATAAGTTGGAATCAACTCAACAGCAACTGATTTTACTGGTTTTAATTATGCAACAATAACTCCAGAATAGGAGCAAATAAAAAAAAAAATCAAACCCACTGCCATTGAGTCAATTCTGTCTCATGGTGACCCTATAGGACAGGGGAGAACTGCCCCACAGGGTTTCCAAGGCTGTAAATCTTTATGGAAGCAGACTTCCTCATCTTCCTCCCACACAATGTCTGATGGGCTCAAACCACCAACCTTTTGGTTGGCTGCCAAGTGCTTTAACCACTGCACCACCAGGGCTCCTCAGAATAGCAGCAGTAATAACACATTACCCTTTCCATGACTTCCCCACTAACTGCAACATATCTCAAGTGGCAGAGCTAAGGAATGCCTGAGAAATGGGAACCTAGAAATAAATATTTGCTGGACACCCAGACATTTAGGAAAACACAAACTCTACCACAGGTGGTGGGTGGGGTCTACTTGAAAATTCTGGAACCCTGCAGTAGCTCCTCACCCAAACTCCAAAGGAAGTAAATGACTCTGGTGGAAGGAGAGGTGAGAAAGAAATATGCTAAAGACATCGGAACAGTAAGGAGATATTCTTTTCACACCCACTCTCTTTATTGCACTTGGCCAAATAAACATTGAAGGACTGAAAATTGTGCCCAGAAGCCGAGTTATGCTTTTTGAGAGAAATCCTTGAGACAGTTAGCTTTTCTTGTATTTAGGAGTCAGTCATGGCACCTTTGTTTAACCCACTGGTTACTAGATTTTCTCGTTATTTTCAAGGATTTTATTTTTGCAAGGGGTGGCTATGGAAAATTAATTTTTTTGATGTGTCAGTTGATCCAGAACATTCCATCAAAAATATTACTATAAGAGGAGCATATATGTTCACAATATATGCAAATGTTCACAATTGTTCTGCAGACTACTGTCTGATCAAGCACGTGTAATTCAGTTAGAACCCTATTTTATCCTATCTCCTTCTCACTCCTCCCACCTCCACCCCCCAAAACACCAAACCAGTCGCCACCAAGTCGAGCCTGACTCATGGTGACCTCATGTGCATCAGAGCAGAACCAGGCTCCCCAGGGCTCCAAGGCTGAGTTTTAATAGTAAATCACCAGGCCTTTCTTCCAGGTGGACTTGAACCTCCACCTTTCAGTTAGCAGCCTGATGTGTTAACCGTTACACCACCCAGGGACTCTACTGCTCCCACAGCCCCACTGAGCAGTTGACGTTAGAGCTGGTATGAAGGCTGAAAACCTTACCAACCGTGGCCTCCACATCAGTTACTTCCCGGTCAAGGGTGGAGATGTTGAAGAAGCTGTTTAAGCTTATGGGAGCCCAGGCAAAGGGCATCCGGTATTTCCCTAAACGTTGGCAGAAGGACTCTGCTTGAAGTTTGAGTTTTTCAATCTTGTCTTTACTCTAGAGAAAAATGGAAAGAGATCATCAAAAACAAGCAGTGCACTATCAACCCCAAGTCTACAGCCTCTGACATGGATATGACAGCCATCTCTGAACTTCTCTGGTAGAGCAATAGTTAAGCATTCAGCTGCTAGCTGAAAGGCTGGTGGTTTGAACCCACTCAGTGACTCTAGGGGAGAAAGCCCTGGTGATCTGCTCCCATCATGAGTACAGCCTAGAGAACCCTACAGGGCAGTTCTAACTCTGTAACACGTGGGGTTGCTATGAGTCCAAATCAGCTCCAGGGCACCTAACAACAACACCAAGTGATGAAATGAGCCAACAAGAAAAACATGATTTGACTGGAGCCAGAAGCCTGACAAAAAAAGATTTAAAAAAAAAAAAAGGAGGGGTTTAAAGATGGGCTACATTCAACCAATACATTGCACCTTCAATTAAAATAAATAAATAAATGTGCTGATCCATGAGTAGGAGCTCTGGTAGCATAGTGCCTAAGGCACTTGACTGCTAACCAGAAGGCTGATGGTTCAAACCCACCAGCCACTCCTCGGAAGGAAGGCTGAGCAATCTACTTCTGTAGTGATACTGTCTTGGAAACCCAAGGAGGGGTCGCTATGAGTCGGGTCTGACTCGACGGCACATAACAACAATCCATGAGTGCTTCTTATGGGGTTAACAATGTGACATGGATTCAAAGGAGGGTGGGGGACTCTGAGGCTAAAAAGATAAAAAGATAACATTTATCAAGCTTCCAGGCTAACCTGGTTTTCAACAGTTACCTTGGAAAGTGTCAAAAAGACCCATAAAGGTTCCTAACAACTTCCTTATTAGGTTGACAACACTTCCAAGGTCTTCTTTCTAAATTCAGAATAAAAGGGAGGTTTTCTAAAAAGGCTTTTGAGTTCAGTAAATCTTACTTGAAAAGTATGACTCTGTAGTAGGATGCTGATTAAAACCCAAAAAAATCCAAACCCACTGCCATCAAGTCAATTCCGACTCATAGCGTTCCTCTAGGACAGAGTAGAACTGCCCCATAGGGTTTCCTAGGCTGTAATCTTTACAAAAGCAGATTACCACATCTTTCTCCCACAAAGAGGCTAGTGGGTTCAAACTGCTGACCTTTCCATTAGCAGCCAAGTCCTTTGGGATGCTGATTAAAAAAATCAAACTCACTGCCACGGAGGCGATTCTGACTCATAATATCCCTCATAGAGTTTCCAAGGCTGTAAATCTTTATGGAAGCATACTGCCTCATCTTTCTTCTGTGGACTGGCTGGTGGGTTTGAAGCACTGATCTTTTGGTCAGCAATCAAATGCCTTAACCACTGTACCACCACAGCTCCTTAGGATGCTGATTACATAAGTGCTATTCCAAATTTTTAAAATTATACTAGGAACCTTTTAAATTGGTGCTGAGGAAAGACATTGTCACAAGTTCCATACCCATGTTGTGATAATGAGCTTACTGAGTACACTACCCCTAAAATACTCAGTTGCTGTCAAGCTAATTCCAACTCATGGCAAACTCATGTGTGTTAGAACTAACTGCTCATAGGTTTTCATGGCTGTGACCTTTGGAAGCAGATCACCAGGCCTTTCCTCTGAGGAGCCTCTGGGTGAGTCTGAACCATCAGCTTTTCAATTAGTAGCTGTGTGTGTAATAACTGTTTGCACCACCCCATTATCCTACTAGACAGGACAGTGGCCTGTATTGTGAGGAAGGTCAATGGAGCTCTGGTGCTGTTTGGTTTTGTTGGGTCTCCATGGTCACCCCAACTAGCTGGGCTAGAGCCACAGAACTAAGACAATGGGAGGTGGCTTATCCTAGCCAAGTTCTCTGATTACACATTGGCATATATCATCACTGTGTTGTGTGCTATTGAATCACTATTGATCATAGGGATCCCAAGTGACAGAGAACTGTCCAATAGGGTTTTCTTGGCTGTAATCTTTACAGGAGCAGATTGCTAAGCCTTTCTCTCACAGAGTCACTAGGTGGGTTCGAACCACCAATATTTTGTTTAGCAGCTGAATGCTTAACCATTGTGCCACCAGGGCTCTCACATCATCATTCCTAATCCAAAAATCAAACTCATTGCCTTTGAGTTGTGGCTGGTGGGTTTGAACTGCCAATCTTCAGATAGCAGTCAAATGCCTTAGGCACTACTCCACCAGAGCTCCTTATATCATCATTACTCAAAAAGCAAACTAACTGCCATCAAGTCGGATCTGGCTCATTGCAACCCCTCCTTGGGTTTCCAAGGTGGTATCAGTATGGAAGTAGATTGCCCAATCTTCCTTCTGAGGAGTGGCTGGTGATACAATCATTAGTGAGTTAAATAATTTATTCCTTTTGAAAAATGGATCATCAATGATCAGTTTCTCTTTCTTCTTTTTTTATAACACAATTCATTAGTGTCTCCTCTGAGGACTTAGTATAGACCTTGCCCCATTAACTGTTTTGTGGTGTACTCTTAAGAATTTCTGCGTGTTCTGGGGAGTTCCGGCAAGATGGCAGACTAGGCAGAAGGATTGCACAGACCCTCTTCAACAAAGAAAAGGGAAACCAATTAACACAGACACAGAAGATAATTGTGGACCCCAGAGCCTTGAAGGGAAGGATACAGAATTGGACTAAACCCCAATTGGCAGAAGAATTTGCGTGAAAATACCAAAAAAAGGA